TATATATATATATGGAGCAGGAGGACACATTCTGATGGATGACAATACAATCCCTGGCCTGCCCAATGGATCAAATGAATGCTGGCTGGATGAAAGGTCACATAGCACACACTCTGGTTGTTATTTTTGAAAAGGACGACAGGCTACACATGGTCCCTGATGGAGTCTATCATCTGTCCCCTACATGTGCCCTTTCAGAGCTGCTGTTTGCGGCAGCCTCATGGAACATATTGATAATAGAGGGATGTTGGATCAGTTGCTATTCAAGCTAATGTGTCTTTTGGCAAATTTAAACTGTACAGATTTAATGTATTTATGTTGAATTAACTGGTGTTAAAGTGAGAGCAGCCTTTAGCACAAATGTGCTTCAGAATATACTTGCCTCCCATGACCAAACAGTTTGTTGTAGACTCCAGAGGGACACATCACTGCACAAAGCAGTGTTTGTGAGGTTATGTGTCTGTGAATGTGCGGATGCATACGTGTGCGTTATTTTATAACGTAATGGGACCACCAGAGAATGCCACACACATCTGATATACTCCTGATACAGCCCTGCTAGTGGCTGAAATTCAGCTAACATCAGCATAACATGCTCACTATTCAAATGTTAAAATGTTTAGCAGGTATCTCCTGTGTGACCTCAAATGGATCATACCTAAACAGTAATATAGGGTTAAGTCATCATCTATTGCATGGGAAATATTATTATCGGAGTACATGATCATGAAATGATTAAAGCTGCACTTATCGACCATATTTCTTTCAGGGTGCATGCCACACAGGCGCTAAAGCCCTGAACAGTGAGTCCAAGGTTAGCCACAGTTAAGGTCTCTCTCCACTATCTCTATTAAATAGATGAATTAAACAAATTAAAAATAGACTCTTGCAAAAAAAATAGGGCTGATGAATGTTATGAAGCACCAGGTTTATGGGACTGTTTGCTATGGGCCAACCTTTTGCTAGCATGTGAATGAGGTGATGAAATATCTATGTCTATAACATATTCATTAAATATGAAGGTCAGCAAAAAGTTGTATGTGTTACTTCCACGCTCTTAACTTTTGTTTATTTACAATAAAGAAATGAAACTTCACTGGCCATGACATAAAAAGCAAATAGTTACATGTTTTAAATTTGATGCTGTGTGTAATTCCTACACTATGCTGACATCACCAAGAATGTTCATACAGTTATATAGAGTTCATACTGATGCTTCATTTAAATGAAATAAAATACATATCAGTGCCTTTTAGAGAGATATTATGATATCCTTCTCATGCAGTCATTCACAGAAGACGTATAAACGTGTCTGCAGTGGATCTGTTGGGTAACCTTGACATTCAGCCTCTTCACACACCTTCCAACCTTGGGGCACTGGACCAGCGATTGGGTGACTTCCTCTGGCGGGGGTTTCCCCTGCTGTCACTGAGCGGGATGGAAAACTCAGAGTCATGCACTTTAAACTCATATTAATGATCAACAGCATACTGTTACTATACCAACAGAGCATTGGATGATACACAGTACAGTAGGTCAGAGAGCAGTGAGACAGAGAGTATAAACACAATAAGACAGGTAGAAGATGTACAAGGATAAAAGGGATCAAACATTTAACAGCAAAAATAAATTTCGTTCAGCAAATAGAGAGAGTTAACCTAGAGACTTCTGTCATGCTGATACACAAATCGAAACACAGTCTGGTTGCTGTGTAATTCAGCAAAAGTTGCACAACTTCACACAAAGAGAAACTTTGTGGGGTTCATTTCTTAAAACCCTCAATTTAGATTTTCCACTAAGCTTTAATCCAATTCATATCCTCCAAATATAGGACTATAAAATGACAAATGTGAAGATTGCCCTCCCCTGACATTTCTTTCATTGGGATCTCACTATTCAAATAAGTCAATGATTAGTTTTAATAAGCCTTGCCTAATATGACTGTTTGACGATACACTTCAACTTACTTTCGGGGATCATTGTGTCTTTCAAAAATTCTGGAGACAATATTACTGAAATTATTTTTTGAAGCGGGGGGGTGTTGGATACTCTGACTAGATGTGCTATAGAATTAGACTTTATTGACTGGCGGGCACATTTTGATAGAAAAAAGGAATAAAGTCCTTTAAAAATAATTTCCTTTGTCACTCAAGTTCTTCCTGCACAAATAATACTTAAATAGTATTGTCGGTAAAGCTCTGAAAATAGTGGGGAAAAGGTTATAAGCATACAGACAGGCTGTGAGCAGGCCACTGATTTCGCTTTTCACAATGCCACTCGTCTCACTCAATTTCTCACCTGGACAGGTGAACTGTGTTTTCACCACTTGTTCTGATATTCTTAGTTATAGTTAAGCAGCCACATCACTAAAACCAGGAAAAGGTTTCTTAAGAAAATCTTTGAGAAACTAACTTGTTATGGGCTTTAAGGGAAGCACCAGGGGTTCAAAGAGGGTTCACCAGATAGACGGTACACTAAAAACCCTTTTTTCTTCTTTTGCTTTCTTAGGTATGGTTCAAGAACCGCCGTGCCAAGTGGAGAAAGCGAGAGAGGAACCAGCAAGCGGAGCTATGCAAAAACGGTTTTGGTGCCCAGTTCAATGGACTCATGCAGCCCTACGATGACATGTACACAGGCTACTCCTACAACAACTGGGCCACCAAGAGCCTAGCAAGCAGCCCCCTCTCCGCCAAGAGCTTCCCATTCTTCAACTCAATGAATGTAAGCCCCCTATCATCCCAGCCCATGTTCTCCCCCCAAAGCTCCATCCCCTCCATGAACATGGCCTCCAGCATGGTGCCCTCAGCAGTGGCCGGGGTTCCCACTACGGGGCTTAACAACCTGGGTAACCTGAACAACCTCAACAGCCCTACAGCGCTCAACTCGGTGGCGGTGTCTGCGGCCACGTGCCCCTACGCCTCCACCGCCAGCCCCTACATGTACAGAGACACCTGCAACTCCAGCCTGGCCAGCCTGCGGCTCAAAGCCAAGCAGCACACCAACTTTGCCTACCCGGCAGTGCAGAACCCCGTGTCCAACCTGAGCCCCTGCCAGTACGCTGTGGACCGGCCGGTATGAAGGAGAAGCTCCGGCGACCATCCCTAACTAACTGACCAGCTGTTAGTTCACTGTTACTCCACTCCTCATCTCACACTGCCAGATGTGCTGCAGCCTGGCAGATTGTGTTTCGATGGTACACAAAGAGAATAATCTTCAAAACTGACACAACAAATAGAATTGCCCAGATGGACCACCGTGCTTCAAAGGAATTCTTTCCAGCTTGTGGGACTTTGTCGCTGACCAACTGCCTAAAGGATTTCTAAAGATTATATGAATTATCTTTATTTTTTTTGCCTTCTTTTGAACTGCATGATTAGAATAAACGTAGAAAACAAGAGTAAATAAAACATGGATGCTTCAACTGGACTGGTGGTCAACATGTTGACCCACAAACATCAGATGCGATCTGCGCGACTGTCGCAGGAAAAGGGACCTGTGGTTGCTATGCAGGAGAAATGGAGGATGTATATAACGGACCTTTTTGTTTTGTATGTGACACAAAATATATGAAAACGTACTTTAAAGATGAGAAAAGCATGTTCTTCAAAAGCAAAGGCCCGAGGTTTATGTACTATGAGCACATCCTTAAACTTTGTTGTGATTCTTCTCTACGTGGAAGGTCACAGGTCAAAGGTCAGCCTGGATGGGCAAGAGGAGGGCTGTCCTGGAAAGTGAACACAACAACAACAACAACAACAACAACAACAACAACAACAACAACAACAACAACAAGTTACTCACACATACCAGAACATCAGAAAGATTTTTCAAGTAAAAACTCTAAGCCATTGAGTATATAGATTTGTGTGGTGTTTTGCAAAGCAAGTCCATGACTGTAAAACATGTATGTAAGAGTGCAGTTGTCATTGCAAAAAAACAAGCTTTTTTTCCTGGTGTAGCCTGCTCTGTCTCATTAAAGAACCAATTAAAGCATCACTTGTTATGAACATGAACTTTGACCGTCATAGAACAGAACACGTCCTCTATGTCTCTGATCTGTAACCTGCGGTGGAAAGAAACTCAATTAATTTATGTATCATACAACTTTCAGGTACTTGTACTCTAGTATTTACATTTTCTGCCACACACTATATATCTCCTGGACTACAATCTGGAGAGTTTTTGCCCCACTAGATTTATTTAATAACTTTAGTTACTAGTTACTTAACAGTATTAGAATGATATATTGAGTATTTTCAACAAGTACATAATTACATTACATGACATGTCACTTGTTAGACGCTTTTATCCAAAGCGACTTACATACTCAATACTGTGGACAATCCCCACAGGAGCAATTTGGGGTGAAGTGTCTCAAGGACACAACAACATGCTTACTGCAGTGGGGTTTGAACCTGTGCTCCCTTGATCCCAACACCAAGGCTCTATCCACTGTGCCACACGCCTCCCTAATGATGTATATATCATTATAGATTGAGATGTCACCATTGAATGATTTGACAAGCTACCTATAGCAGTAGATTCATATGTTTAAATGAGCTTCACTTTTACCAGCCCATATTAAAGTAATGTGCACATTAATGCATCAATAATTATAGTTATAATATTGATTATAAGAGCTATATCATTTATGAATCTGAAAAGGGCAATTCTCCATATAAGGCACTTTTACTTTTGGTCCTTAAAGTATATTTTAGACATTAATACTTTGTACTTTTACTCAAGTACGCTTTTGATGCAGGATTGAACCTGTAGTATTTCTATATGAGGTATTGCTGCTTTAACTTTTTTAAACTTAAAAAAAATCTGTCTATAGTCTATAAAACCATAACACAACGTTCTCAAAGCTATGAGCACAACACCATGGTAACGCAGACTCACTTCCATGGCAACCAGTAAGCAACACTGGAGCGGGCAGCGGGCTGCTGGGAGATATCCGGAGCCGTCACTGATACGTTTGACCTACACTCTGAGGGGGGGCCGCAGGTTATCGAGTAACACATTCACGGGGCCGCGGCTGAAGCCGGGCCAGGATCACACAAGGGCCCGGAGGAGAGGAGGGTCCCAGCGGAGCCACAACCAGGGGTTAGCAGCCCATCAATTTCCATTAACCCCCCCAACTGTTTATTGCTCTGACATTTCCACTGTTCCCTTTACATTCAATTATAAAACGTCACAGTTTCAACAGAAATTCTGCCATTAATACAAACACACACATTCTACTAATACTGCTTCTACTAATATAAGTGCTAGTCCAAAAATATATTTTAAATAATTGTTTATAATAAAGTAACATTACAACTTGAACACATGATGTTTTAAAGCAGAGAAATGTAACTAAACAAACCAGATTTTCTAAAGTAAGTTTAAATAATATGCAATATCAGATGCTAATAATAATGAAGGTAATACTAAGTACAGAATCTAATAACTCAGCTAAAATGTTAATTTTAGGCATACAAATTGTATTGCAATTGTTATTGTAAAACATTCATTTTTTTAACCTATTTGAATCTTCCGTTAAATGATTTGAATCTGAAGAAATGGAAGTTCCAAATAAATGACTAACATGGAATATAACATTCTAATCTTGGCTGATGGTCCGCGCAGCTCATTGCTACAATACACAGTCTTGTGAATAGGGTTTCCTCTAAAGAAAGTTGTGATTGTTTAGTCAACAATTCAGGTTGTAATGAAAAGGAACTTTACAAAACATTATAACATCAAATAAAATGATAAAGCTTTTCTATGAATCGTAGTGGAAATTAAAAGACAAAACACTATAATAACTGCCTCTATTTGTCCTAAAATGACTTCATAGTTTCACACAGGAGACTGGAAGCCCTCTTCATCTTGATTGTAGTTAAGAAAAATCAAAAAACTAACTAATACTGGCTCCAAAAATACTTAACTTAAGAACTTTGTAAGTTTTAACTTCATAATGAAAACTTCCGTTAAGGTTTTCCTTCATTTGAAACAGCCATAGAGACTGAGTCAGTGATAATCAGAAGCAGGGACATCCTGGCATACAAGGAGCGCCTAATATCAAATATTGGAAAGTGACATGTAAAGAAACGTCACTCAGAGCCAGAGCCGGGCTCATGGTGAGGAAAGCTGTGCTCAGAACACATGAGCAGCTCTCAGCCTGCAGCGTGCTCACCCCGGGAGGGACTGGCAGAACACACAGACGGTACTCAGAGGTGAAAGATTATATGATTAGCGGTGGGACACTTAGAAAAAAGTTACCAAAAATACTCATCTTTTAATTTGTCCGAATGTTAGTGCACTTTTGATGTCACAGGTACAGTATATATCAAGGTTCAAAGGCTTTTAGTCATATGCACAGCTCGCAATGCAACATTATTTTATATATATCAGACATAAAACAGTCAAACTAATTAAAAAAACAATACAAAATAGTGCAAGAAGTGGATAGTGCTGTTGCAAGATTAATGTGCAGGTAATGCAGGAGAAGTTAACGAGAAATAAATAGTATAAGATGAGCAAAAAATAAACGTAAAATGAAATATTGTACAGTGAAATAAAATACTGCTTATTGTAATAATGATCACCTCGGGTCTATAGGGTTAGACAGGGTCTGACAATATTGATATGTGCCGTTAAAAGAGGATTCAGATCGAAGAATATCATCTAAATTAAATGGAGGCATTCCAGAGCATCAGCGTGGAATAGTTTTTGGATGTCACATAGATGATCTGAATAATGAGAAACGCTCATTTAACCGAATTTATTTGCCCTTTGATTTGAACAAAGAAATCCAGTTCCACTCCTCAGGTGGGGATGTATCACTTCTTAATTAGACACAGAGTTTGAATGTATCACATTCAGCATCAGACAGAGCCTTTCCAAAGTGTACAACTGGCAGAGGAGCTTTTTAAATGGAGCTGCTGACCCGAGAGCAGCCTCCTCCTGGTGGACTGCAGAGCTGTGGAGCGAGGTGGAGCGTCACAGTGTGTGCTTCATCAATCAATATTCCACCGGAGGGTAGATGTGTGCGGTCCCTGATGTTTACCCACAGTACAGATACAGCAGGAGCAGAGAGCACAGGCCGGAAAAAAATACAGAGGCATCTGAAGTTCTAACAATCTCCTCGGAGAATAGACAAAACAACAGATGGAGAAACATGGACAGCAGCTCTGCTGGAATAGATGGGCCTCACATTTCAGGAATTAATACTTATTTACTTTTTCCTATCTTTAAATGTGTTTCTCTTGAGAAAAAAATAAATGCAAACACCCACCATGATGGTTATCTGCTTCAGAGTACTGAGGTACATACCACCTTTGGTTTATATAACAATTGTGTGTAATCTCATTATTAGGGTCTGAGACCTAGGTCGGCGAAGACCCTATTGAAATCGGTCGCGCAGCGACCGATAAACCTGCGAAACACACACAAA